ATTACCTCTTTATTAAAAAAAAAAAAAAAAAAAAAAAAATATATATATATATATATATATATATATATATATATATATATATATATATATTGATTTTTTACAGAGAGGAAGGGAGAGAGATAGAGAGTTAGAAACATCGATGAGAGAGAAACATGGATCAGCTGCCTCCTGCACACTCCCCACTGGGATGTGCCCGCAACCAAGGTGCATGCCCTTGACCGGAATCGAACCTGGGACTCTGAGTCTGCAGGCTAATGCTCTATCCCACATGTGTCAAACACAAGGCCCACGGGCCAAATCCGTCCCGCCAGGCCTTGCAGTGTGGCCCGCACCGCGCTGTCATCACTGCACTCCGCTGCGTTTCCATCACAATGACAGTTTATGACTGTTCAGTAAACCATTCGGCCCGCAATTTAGGCTGGATTTTAGATTTTGGCCCCTTCTCTGATTGAGTTCGACACCCCTATCCACTGAGCCACACCGGTTTTGGCTTAATTACCTCTTTAAAGATCTATCTCCAAGCCAGGGCGCCTGCTCAGGGAGGAGGGGTCAGGACTTCCACATGAGGATTTTGGAGGACACAGTTCAGCCCATCACACCCCAGCCATGCCAAGCTTCAGTTTCTTCATCAGTGGAAGGGGGCTAATGAGGGCTGTGAGGATGACCAAACCAAACACGCCTGATGGAACAGTTTGCCCAGTGCCTGGCCCCAGAGCAAGCACACAGATGTCACTCTTTACTGCTCCACCTGTGGGGGGTGGTTAGGGATGTTATTTTTCTACAGGCAGGGGTCTAGATACTACAAAGGGGAGGCCACGAACCTATTGGTATCTACCTACCCCTTTGGCCAATAGCTGGGTGATTTCTTTCAGATATTTCGGGACAGCTGCTGGGTGCAAGGCAGAGGTGCTAGCCTGTCTCCCGAGAGTGTAGCTGCACCTTCTGTCACTGAGGCTGGGTGGATGCGCCCACTACCCCATTCCCAGGCATCCATCCTCCTTCTGCTTTCCCTCTCCCTCTCTCTCTCCCTCTCCCTCTCCCTCACCCCTTCCCCTCTTTGAGGTCTGAGGCTCCCACCCCTGAGGCTCAGCAGGGATTCTAGGCTGGTACCCAAGGCTCCTCCTCCCACCCTCCTGTTTTGCAGCCACCTTGGGACAGTGGGGGGATTGGGGAGGACTCCCCGTTTTCTGAACACAACTCTTACTTTCGGGCCTCTACTTGGCACCAGCAGTACCCTCCACCCAGTGTGCCTTTCCTCCACGTCTTCCTGGAGGAGGCATTGTGTCTCTGAGGGACAAATATGATCTGTCTACCAACTTGCTTAATGCCCACCTCCCTCGCCCTGCTTGAGGCTGGGCGATGGGCTAGGCTGATGGTGGACTTGAAAGTGCTAATGCCTGAGGCTGAGGGCAGAGCTGCGTTCCTCCTTGGGTGGGGTGGGGCGGGGGGCCCAGCCGGATGGTGCTGCCACCGGGTGTCCTGCAGCACAGACCTGCTCCCCGTAGCTGTGTGGACAGGGGAAGGTGCCAGGAGAAGGGATGGCAGGATGGTGTGTGGGTGGGTGGCGGTCACCCCTGTGCAGTGTGGTCTTGATTACAGAACCCATATCTGGGGAGTCAGTAGGTGATGCAGAGTCTGGAGGGAAACACTCCACAGGTCTTGGGGTGTCCAGGACCAGGGAAGGATGGGAACTTCAGTGTTGTGGCTTTCCACCATGTCCAAGCCTGTTGGATCCCTCAGGAGAAATGTATTTCACATCAGCCATCTGTACACACACACATACACACACCCCTGAAACACAGCCACTTGTACACACACACACACACACACCCCTGAAACGCATTAGCCACCTGTACACACACACACACACACACACACACCCCTGAAACACATCAGCCACCTGTACACACACACACATACACCCCTGAAACACATTAGCCACCTGTACACACACACACACACACACACACACACACCCCTGAAACACATCAGCCACCTGTACTCACACACACATATACACCCCTGAAACGCATTAGCCACCTGTACACACACACACACACACACACCCCTGAAACACATCAGCCACCTGTACACACACACACACATACACCCCTGAAACACATTAGCCACCTGTACACACATACACACACACACACACCCCTGAAACACAGCCACCTGTACACACACACACACACACACACACACCCCTGAAACACAGCCACCTGTACACACACACACAACACACACACACACACCCCTGAAACACAGCCACCTGTACACACACACACACACACACACACACCCCTGAAACAAAAGTTTCCAAAAGCTGTGGTGGCCCCAGGTGAAATGTGTGTGGCGTTCACAGTGCCTGTTCTGTCCCAGTTCTCCAGTCCTCTGAGGAGCTGGTTTCAGGGCCCACTGCTGGGCCCCCACTTGCAGTTGGAAAAATCCTGCTCTAAGCTAGGCTTGTGTTTTCTGCTCTGTTCTCCTGCTTTTAAAATTTAATATCGAAGATGGATTTATGTATTATCTGCACATTTCATGTATACATACATAAGAGAGAGAGAGCGCACTGGGGAAACATTAAAAAGTAATAAAATCAACCAGGCTTTCTGGAAGGTGGTTGAGCAAACTGTGGCAAAGCAAACATCTTCAAGGAGGTGCACATGCATTGACCGAGCAATTTCCCTGAGACCCGTGTCAGCTGCCCTAAGGATACCTCCCAGCTCCTGAGCGCTCACACCTGGCCGGGTAACCCTCACTGACAGGAGAGGTAGCAGGAGCCGAAGGGACTGTCAGGCTAGGAAAGGCTAATCCTGCTCTGTGGTTAAAGATTCTCTTTACAAGTGTGAGGGCCGGGCCGGGCAGTGTGAAAGTGCCCACCCAGAGGTTGCATCGGCTTGGTCTCTGCGATTTCGGCACTGAGCTCGCATTGCTTTTACAAGCAGGAGAGATTTTAAAGGACAAGAGAGAAAAAGAAAGGAAAGGAAGGATGGAGAAAAGGAGAGAAAAGGAAGAAACAGAAGATGAAGGGTGGGGGAGAGGGAAAGAGAAAGGAAGGGGAAGAAAGAGGAAAAGGTGGTGGTGATGAGGTGCCAGAATGCTCCTGGGCGGCCACGGGTCCCAGCGCCAAGCGCTCCACGTTTTGGTCCCAGCGCCAAGGGTGAACCTTCTTGGGGAGGAGAGGTCGCTCAGCGGGTTTAACTGGACCCCAAGAGGCCGGCACGTCCGGGAATCCCCCGAGCGCGCAGTGAGCCCCCCACCCCCCACCCCCCACCCCAGTGGCCCCTGGCGGCCCTCCGCTTCCTCCCAGCCGCCAAACCACCACCAGGCCAGCTCGACCGGCCTCCCCATCTCCCTTTCGGTCCCTGCCGCTTTCTCTCTCTGCTTTCTCTCTCCGGACTCCTCCTGGGGGTTTGGGGGAGGGTGGGGATGAGAAGCAGCGCGCAGGAGGAGGGGAGGGGAGGAGATGCAGGAACCCCATCTGTGCCAATTTTCTTAGAAGTTACTTTTCATAAATACTTTTAAAGCAAAACCCTTCTTATCCCCCCCCCCTCCCGTCTCTCTCCCCCCCTCCCCCCAGCCCAGGGTGTCAGTTTCAAAAAGTTTTCAAGGAGGAGGCTGGGTGCAGAGCTGGAGGCAGCCTGGGTGGTGCGGGGCCTCTCTCTTCTCTCTCTCCAGCTGCGCCCCCGTTCCCCCCACCCTCCCGGCGCGGACCCCTCCAGAGTGAGCGCACCGACACGCCTCCCCCTTCCTCCCTTGGAGGCCCTGGGACCCCATCGGGGGAAGTTGGGCTGTCCCCCAACCCCCACTCAGGCCGGGACCCCCGCCTCCGCGCTTGTTCGTTCCTCCTTCCTCCCGCCCGTTCTCCCGCTCCAGGTGTGGCTAGCAGAGGGCGGTGGGGAGGGTCCGTGCTAACTCCTGGGTCCCGGGGTCACCCCCCTCCCCCCCAGGGCGCAGCAGGGGAGGGAGCGAAGCGGGGTTGGGGGCGCCTGGCCTTGACTGAGGGCGGGGATTTGTGCTAAACGTTGCGATTCCCTCCTCCCAAGCCCCCCCCCCCCCCTTTTCTGGCCTCATTTCTCCTCCTCCTCCTCCTCCTCCTCCTCCTCCTCCTCCTCCTCCTCCTCCTCCTCCGCTTCCCATTCCTTTTTTTTGGGGGGGGTGTGTGTGGCTCGAACTTGGGGAAGCTGAGGAGGGTCAGGAGGAGGGAGTTTCTGGGAGGGGGGCGCACGCCTCGCCACCCAGCTCTGCCTTAGGTGCTGCCTCTGGTGTGATGGCGGTGGCTGCGCGCTCCTCTCCCACCCCTCCTCCCCTCTTCCCCTCTCCCATCCCTTCTTCTTCCACCGCCCAGAGCCCCACCAGCACGCCCCCCGCGGACCTCCGCTGCCCCAGGGGATGGTGGGGTGGGGGGACAATGTGGCAGGTGCGGGAGCGGTCAGGGGGAAGCCAGATGCTGGCAGGGAGCCGGGGAGGAGCCAGGTGTGCAGAGGCGCCGAGGTTGGCCGGAGCCCGGCCCCACCTGATGCATAGCCTCCCCGCAGGCCGCCGCTGGGAGAAGTTAGCTCCCCTCCCGCGGGGGCAGGGGTGTGTGTGTGTGTGTGTGTGTGTGAGTGTGTGAGTGTGAGGACCCCCATGTTTCCCCAGCCCCCTCCCGGACCCGAACTCCTCCATCCGGCACCGCGCATGGGCGCGCGCCCCGGTACCGGTACCGCCCCAGAACCTTCCCTGTAGGTTCCCCCTCTCCCTCCCGCTGCCCCTCCCCCCGACCCCACCCTCCCTTCCCCCCAGGGGCGCCATGGGAACCCGGGGGAGAGGATTTGGTGGAAGTCCTGCCGCTGCTCAGGGGGAAGGAAACACAAAGGGACCAGAGGCAGCACCAGGGCAGTTTACATCAGCCTTTATTACGGTCACATCACACAAGTCCACACACAGGGAGTGCTCCCAGCACAACACCGAATGCCCTCCGAGCCCCCCCGCCCCCCGCCTCCCCACCCCTCCATGGCAGCTCTGCACAGGAGGCCTCCCACTGAGGCCCCCCAGACCCCACTTCTGGGAGCCTTGGCCTCTCCCTTCTCCGGGGGCCTCTGCGAACCCCCTGAACCCCGCTCTCCTCTGGTCCCAAGACAGTCCCCACCCCCTCCCCTGCCCCGCCCCCACGATGGTGGTTTCCTCGTGGAAGCCCAGGGCTCTTCCCCCGCCTGGTTTCAGGCGCCGCTGGGGGCCCCCCTGCAATTCAGAGGCAGCTCGTGGTCAAGACCAGTTAGAGGCAGCTCATCATCAGCAGCGGGGCTCCGGGGCGCCGCAACGCAGGGGGGGAAGCGACCCTGCCCACCCCCTTCCCCCACCGCAAGGACACGACACAGACACAGAACAGCCGGTACCCCCTCCCCCGTGGCAGGTGTGGCGACAGGGTGATGGGGCAGGTGCCAGGGCGCGGCCGGAGGAGTCTCTCTGCAGAGGCCACAGCGCTGACCCTGCCAAAGGCTCTGTTGGCCTTTGCTCTGGGGAGGGGGCGCCAGAGAACACCGCAGGGGGTCTCTTGGGGACAAGTCCAGGGGCACGAGGCAAAGGGCAGCACCACATCCACACGCAGAAGGCAGGGACAGTCACAGGAGCAGAGGAGGGGCTGGGAGTGGGGGCCTTCAGAAGGCTGAGGGTGCAGACCCAGCCTGCCACCTGTGGCTCAGCACAGCTGGTCACCACGGGGGCCCTCGCCGAAGCTGGCTTGGCTGGGGACCTCGTTGGCACGTGGGCCTCGAAGGCGCGAAGGCGGGGCCCTCCCAGTTCGGTCCATGGTTCCTCGGTCCCCCTCGGGCGCCTACACCGGCCGGGCCAGTGCGCCCTGCAGCTGCTGGTCGTAGCGCTCCAGCCAGGCGCGCAGCTCCGAGACCTGGTAGCCATCAGGGCCGCGGCCGCCCTGGTACATGATGACGCCGCTCTGCACGACGTAGAGGCGCTCAAAGTAGGCGCCGTAGGCGGAGCTGCTGGCGTTGGTCATGGTGTCCAGGACCAGGGCGCAGCCGGGCACCCCTTGCTGCAGCACCCGGGCCGCGCTGACCCGGTCGTCCAGGCTCCGGTGCTGCGGGATGATGTAGGGGGTGTCCGTGGTGACCCAGCCGTCCGAGGGGTGCGCCTCCTCGATGTAGATGATGAGGAAGTCCACGTGGCGCCGGTACTTGGTGACCAGGCGGCGGAAGGCGCTCATGCGCGCCATGAACGGCGGTCAGGTGCAGCTGCCGAAGTTGAGCACCAGCGGGCGGTCCCCGCGCGCGAAGTCCAGGATGTGCTGGTGCTGGAAGCCGTCGGGCAGCACCACCTGCGAGTTGGGCGCCGGGCCGCCCTCGTGCGCCTGCTTGAAGAGGTCCAGCTTCTGGCCGTGCCACACGGCCCGCAGCGAGGCCAGCGTGCACAGGCGGTTGTCGTCGGACACGCAGATGGGTGGGTCGTCGGGGGGCGCCTCCTCCTCCTCCTCGTCGCCCTGGAGCTCCACCTCGGGCTCGGGGCGACCCCCGCGGCGCCTCCGGCCCAGGAAATGCTTGCGGATGCACAGGAAATCGAGCAGCCAGAGCATGAAGGCCGTGCAGAGGAAGCGCGGGAAGAGCGTGAGGCACGAGGCCGTCTGGGCGCACAGCCTCAGGGCGTGAAGCAAGAGGGAGCGGAGCATGGTAGCCACGGCCCCCCACGCCCCCTGGGACCCCCCGCCCTCCCCCCCCAGCAGCGGCGGGGCGGCCTGGCCCGGCATCTGGCCGGAGAGGTGCAGGGAGCTCAATTTATAGCCGAGGCTTCCCTTGGCGGGATGGAGACTCCACCTCCGGCCGGGCCCGCCCCCTTGCAACTTGAGCCCGGAGGGATGCCCCGGCCGCGGGGGCCACAGCCTCAGAAATCAGGAATCCCGGGCCCGGGGCGGGTGGGCGCCGGCGGCACGAGGGCGGGGCGGGCCCTGGCGGTGGTGGGTCGTGCCCGGGGGCCGGGCCGCCTTAGCCAGCTCCCAGGGGGGCGGGGGGACCCCGGCCGGGGTTGCCTCCCAGGACGGCGGGCGGGACCTGGGACCCAGGCGTGTGCGGGTGGAGATCCTGCAGGGAGTGCGGTGCCGGCGTGGCTCCGGCCCCAGCAGCCCGGCCCCGGCCCGCGCCCCTCGCCGCGCACCTGAGCGGAGCTCTCCAGCGCCCGCCGCGCCGCGCCGGAGCCTCGGTTCGCTTCTTCCCGCGCGCCGCCGCCGCCGCCAACGCCGCCCCCGCCGCCGCCGCTCGTGCGGGGCTTCTGCCCAGGTGCCGCCGGGGCCCGGGTCCCCCCGGCCGCTGCTCCGCCGGGCTCCCGCCCCCCGGGGGACGCGGGCTGGCGAAGGAGGCAACTTCGGGTGCCCGCCGCCTCTCCCCGTCCGCCCGCGGGCTCCGCCGCTCGCCTTCCCGGAGCCCGCTCGCCCGCTCGTCTCCCGCGCGCGCTCACACTCGCGCCTCGCACACGGCCGCCCCCCGCACGGCCCCGCCACGCACACCGCGCCCGGCGCTCCCCGCCGCCCGAGCCCGCCGCGCGCCGCCCCGGCCGCGCCCGCCCCGTCCCATCGCGGCCCGGCCCCGCGTCTCCGCTCCGGGTCAGCGGCCGGGGGCCCGGCGGGCGGCGCAGAGGGCAGGGCCCGCGGGCCGGGGAGCGCCGGGCGCCGCGGACGGGAGCGCCGGAGAGAGCGGCGCCGTCCCTGCGCCCAGCCGGCCCGGGAGCGCTTGGGGCGCGGGGCGCGGCGGGCGAGGGCGCGGGGCGCGGCGGGCGAGGGCGCGGGGCGCGGCGGCCCCGGCGGCTCTCCCACTAGGGGTAGCTGTTGCCCGAATCCCGGAGCGCTCCCCTCCCGCCGCTCGCCGCGCCCGGCGCAGCCCCGGCCGCCGGGCGCACCCGTCCCGTGCGTCCCCAGACGTTGCTCTCCGCCCCGGGAGCGTCGGGACGGGAGCGCCCGAGCCGAGCCACCTTCGCCGACCGCCCGCGAGCGCCGCGGCTCCCCTGGACGCGGAGGCGCACGGACGCGCAAAGTGCGTCCTCTCCGCCGGGAACGAGACTTTCTTTGGGGGTGAGGGGCAGCTCCCCAACTTCGCGGGGGGCCTTCGGATCGCTCGGGGAGCGGGACCGGCGGCGGCGAGGTCGGTCTCAGGGGCAGCCGGGCTGGGAAGTGCCTTGACCCAGGGTCCCCGAAGCTGGGAACACAAGTTCCCCTCCGACCGGGACTGGCTCGCGCCCGGTCCCGAGCGATGTGCACCCCGTCTGCGGGGCCGAGCTGCCCGGGGCGCCCGCACAGCCGCGGGGACTTGTCCGGGTGTCCGTGGCCGAGCCCGAGTCAGAGGCGGTGGCTGCCGCCGGCGTCCCGCGCGCCGCCAGACCCGGGACCGGCCGCCCAACTTCTCCCGGGACCGGCCGCCCAACTTCTCCTCGGGACCGGCCGCCCAACTTCTTCCCGGGACCGGCCGCCCAACTTCTCCCCGGGACCGGCCGCCCAACTTCTCCCCGGGACCGGCCGCCCAACTTCTCCCGGGACGGAGACCTCGCTGGGTCCCGGGCCGAGGCGGGAGCCCGCGGGGCCGAGAGGGCGAGGGGGAAGCGCTCACTCGCGGCGGCGGCGGCGGGGGAGCCAGTCCGGAGAGACGTCCATCTGTCCACCCTGGTGCTCGGAGCCTCCGGCCGGAACCCCGCGGGACCGGTGCGCGCGGGATAGACGACTAGGACTCAGGTGCGGAGGTCCCCCCTCCGGTGTTCCGGGCCCCGGAGGGACTCTGTCCCAGGAGCTTCCTGTTGGCCCCGTGGCTTGGGCAGGACAGGACCTTGAGGGGCAGGCGGTGCGCCTGGGAGGGCAGCCCCTCTCCTCTGCCTCCCAGTCAGGCCATGGCTATGCCGCCTGGGGCCCCGGGGTGGGGGCTGCACGGCCCAGGAACTTCTCCCCCAGGAGGAAGCCAACCTCTTTCCTACTTTCTCCGACCCTGCCCGGCCCCTAACCACCCTGGCAGGGGGCGCTCAGGAAGGTTAGTGAACTCTCTCTGAGCCACACCTGGCTGGGCTGTGGCAAGAGGGGGGTGTGGGGGGAAGTGGGGGACTTGGGGGTGGGTGGAGTGGTGATGGAGGAGGTGTCCCATTTGTCTTCCCGGAGAGCACCTCTGCATTAGCAAACTTTTTTCCTTTGTTTGTTTGTGGCGGGGGAGGGGGTGGTGGTGGTGGAGAGGATAGGGAGAGAAGGCCACTCGGCAAGTCTCTTGAGAGGGTTGGGGGCTTGGGGTTGCTGCCTCCTGGGCTGGGGCAAGAGGAGTCCCGACTTTTGTTGGACAAACTCTCAAGCCCCGACTCCTTGATTTCTGAGGGCGCCCTTCAAGGACCTGTCCTGCTGCCAGAACTGGGCAGCCCCCCCCCCACCCCCCCCTCTTCCAAATTTAGTCTTGGAAATGAAAAGCCACCTTGGGCTGGGGGAGCCTTTTGTGCTGCCTGGGATCTGTGGTGATGGCCATGGCGTGTGTGGTCTGGGGCAGATGTGAGACTGGCCCGTCTGGTCTCTGTGGGTGCGTCCTCCTGCGGAGGAGACACACACACACACACACACACACACACACACACTCCCTCCAGCCCCACCGAAGCTCAGGGGAGCAGCCTCTTAGGGCTGCCAGCTGCTCTGGGGGGACCTGCTCTGCCCTTGGTGCTGCCAGGCCACATGCACACCTCGGGGTTTCAGAACCCTGGACAAGGTGCTCCGCCACACCTGTCTCCCCACACTTTGCGCAGGTGCGGACAGACCCAGGTGGTACTGGCCTTTGGGTTATGGGACCCACATCGCAGCTTGGGACTGACTCCAGGGCTCACCCTGCTCCCTTTCCCCATGGGCTCCGTCCTCCTTCTCCTCTCCCTCTCTCAAATCCTCTTTCCTGCCCAAGCAGCCCCTGCCCAACCCTGCCCCCAGCCCACCTTAGGCCTGGCCCGTTCTACCGGCTGCCCACCTGTCCTAGGGGTCAGCAGTGAGAATCTTGGCCCAAGGCCAAGACCCACTCGGGATTTGGGGGAGCACCAGGCCGCTCAGAGGGGCCTGGCCCCAGTGGCCTTGCAGGCTTTGCCCTGGGGGGACCCGTGTTGGAGCTGGGGCTGTGCCCCGGGCCTCTGGGCCTGGCTGGGCTGCCCCTTTCTGCCTGCCCTCTCCCAGCTCCAGCAGGGGGCGGGCAGGGGAAGGACAAGGAGGGACAAGTGGAACTGGGTCCAGGAGTAACTTGGTAAGAGAGTGGAGCCAGGGGAGGGCTGGGCTTTGGGGGTGGGGGTGGGGGGGAGGAGGGACCTCCCTGCTCCCCAGACTACCCTCCTGGGGGCTGTCTCCTGTGAAAGGGAGGGCTTGGAGGGAGCCTGGCCCTGCCCCCTGCCCCGCATTGCCCCGTGTGGGTGGGTGGGTGGTGGGTGGGTGGGTGTGCGGTGGTGTAGCCACTGACTCCCTCCTGGCAGAGTAACTCCCAGTGCCCAGCGAGGTTGATGTTGAGGCTTCTGGGAAGAGATGGACCAGCCTCAGCCACAGGTGTGTGCTGTCTGTGCCCTGGTCTCCCTCATTGTGACCGGGCTCCTGGGCTTCAGCCCTTCTTGGTCATTGTCCCTGTCTTGGCTCCGAACCCCCTCCATTAGCTTCCTGATGCTTCGGGCATTCCCAGGCACTGCCCTGCCTCTGAGCCCCCTAACCCTAACCCTAACCCTAACCCTCAGCCCTTCTCCCTCCCCTGGCGACTCTCGTTCCTCCTCCACTCCCTTCCCCTCCACCTGGGTCCAGCCCGCCTGGCCTCCCAGAGGGCCCTGAGTCTTCCTCCGTGCCCCCTCCCCGGTGCCCTCCTGCCTTCAGCCTTCCTCCGCATCCGCAGCCCCAGCAGGGGCGGGTTTCACCACCGGGTTTTGTGCCCGCTGCCCCGGCCCAGCTTCCCCCAGGCTGGCCGCTGGGTCCTCTGCAGTGACGCCCCTGAACCTGGCACCCAGGAGAAGCTCAATAAACGTTTGCAGAATGCATCCATGAGTGCAGTGTGGACTTACTGAACACTCGTTTCCGGAGAATTTCAAGGTATTTCATGCAGCCCATTTGCACACCAGCAGCAGTGAGCAAGGCAGGACGGGGTGGCAACCAGGGTGCAGCGAGCTCCTGCGGGGGGGTGGGGGGGTCCCCCTCTGGGCCAACCTGTGTCCCTTCTGGATAAGCAGGTCCCCCCGAGTGCCTGGCCCTCCCATGCGTGCGCTCACACTGCCCACGGGCTTCAAGAATGATTTCTCTCCAAATTCCTCCCACCTCTCCCGACTCCTGTGTGGCCAGACTGCACAAGTGGACACCCTGCAGGGGGCAGGGATGGGGAGGTGCTCCACGCTCCGTGGTCTGGTCTCAGCCGATTCCTCAAGATGGCAGGCCGCAGTCCCTCTCCAGCCCCAGCCGGGCACCTCCGGGAGAGTGAGGCAGGAATGGGGCAGACGGGGGGCTCCGGGTGGTTGGGCAGCCTGGGAGCCAGGCCAGAAGAGCTTGCTGGGGCCTCCGGGCCTGGAGGGAGTGGAGTGTCTGGGCAGCATTCGGGGCCTGGGCTCTTGGCCAAGGGGAGGAGCAGGCCGAGGGGGCGATGCCCTGGGAACCTGCCGTGCGACCCGGGCATGTCCCGTGCCTTCCTCTGGCCTCGTCTGCAGTGTGTTTCCCAGCTCCTTCCCTGTGCTGCCTCTGAACCCCAGGGGGTCCTAGGACGTCCTATAGGCCCTGTCCTGACCCTGCCTGCTGCTACGGGCCTGGGAGACCCCTACTTGAGGATGGAAGGCGCCTGGTCTCCTGGCCTCAGTACTTGCTTCCAGCGCCATCCTTCACCTGCCCCATCCCGCCTTAGCTCCAAGGTCCTCACTATAATACATGGCCTGCCCCCACTCATCAGAACCAGCGTGGGCTCCAACACAGGAGTGCCCACAGGGCTCCCAGGTGCCCAGGCAAGCCCCTCAGGAGGTGGGCCGATGCCTGCCCAAGATCCTGCTCGGGAAGCTGCCTGGGCGTTGGGGTGTGAGCCACGTGTGTGGAGGACAGACCCTGCTCTGAACCCCGAGGCTGGCTGCAGGGCCACCTTCAGGTCAGTCCATCCATCTCTGAAAAAAAGGAGGGGGACACCCAGCCAGCACTCTGACTCCCTTGGATTCTCTGATCCTCAAATTTCGCAGCCGAGAGGTGAACCTGGGGTCAGGAACGTATGCTCACCATGCCACGCAGGGCCATGCCAGGTGCCCACGGGGGTGCATCTACGTCTTTATACCCAGTCTCCTCCCCCAGTGCCTGTCGGGTCCCTGCAGGACACCAGGAGGTACCACAGAGAGAAGAAAAAGTGAAAACACGGTAGGACCCACTTGCCGCCGGGGACACAGTGCAGCTGCTGTGCCCTCCTGGTGGGCACAGACCCGTGACAGATGTTGTCCACGTGGCGACACGTGTTTGGTTGATTCCCAGCGTCTGAAAGATAAAAGTGACCATCCCGCTGAGCCTCATGCATGGCTTTGCGTGTGGCTGTGCTTGCCTCAGTTTCTATCTGAATCTCGGCATCCTGCGCGGGCAGCCCCCAGGCCGTGGGTGAGCTCCCTGAGAGAAGGCTCGTGGCCAGCAGGGAGCTCAGGTCTCAGCGGGACCCACGGAAGGCTGGCCTGGGAGGCGGTGACAGGACCTGCTCCCTCCTGGGGCTTCCCTGCCCCCCTGGGATGCTTTAGGGTGGAAGTGTGCTCCTGAGCCTTCTGTCCTGTGGCCACAGACCCCTTCCCCAACCCTGGTCCGTGCGAGGCTCCCAGAAGGAGGCAGCCGGGTCTCCCTCCGGCCAGGGTGCTGGGAGGGCAGGCGTGCTCGAGGAAGATGTGCTCCAGTTTCCTCGTGGCTCCTCCACAAAGGCCCCTGGCCTTCCCCAGGGTCTTCCCCAGCAGGCGGGGGACACGGAGGGCAGGGAAGGCGATGGCTCTGGCTCTGTGTTTCCCGGCAGGAGCACGGCGCTGCCTTCCCGCTCATCCGACCGCGGCCAAGCTGTGTGGTCTGGGGCACGTTATACAAACTCTCCGCGCCTCCGTCTGAGAAATGAGCATAGCAACCCCCGGACAGGGAGGTTACTGTGAGAGAAAGTTCAGTCGCACACCCACCGCCCCCGGCGTGGAGTCCAGGGCACGGAGGTGCAGTGTAACTAGTAGTGACAGCTGGCACGGGCCCCCACCACGTTCCAGGCACGGCGAGCAAGTGTCACTCGGCCCTCGGGCACTTCAGGAGCTTGTGTCCGGGTGCCCGCCCGCGTGCGCGCGCTCCACGTCTTGCCCACCCCAGGTCCCGCTAGGTCCCCACGCTGTGGGCTTCCTCGTCCCGTGGCCCATCTCAGCCTCCCGGAGCCCAGCAGTTGCATTTGGTGCAGGTTGGCACATGGCAGAGACAATCCAAAGTAACTTCAACTAAGAAGGAATTTGCTGGCCGCAGTCAGCGCCAAGTCCAGGAGGAGCCATGCCATGAGGCACGGTTGTATCCAGGTGCCCAAAGGATGCTGCCAAGGCCCCGCCTCTCCGGCCTCTGCTCAGCTGGGTTCTCAGGTGGCCCTCTCTCCGCACGCACGTGGGCAAGGTGGTCCCAGGAGCCCTGGCTTTGGGGTCCTGGCCACCCAGAGAGGAGAGAAGACAGTCGCAGGGGGAAAAACTTTGTGGAGGCCTGGGAGTGGGGGGGAGGGGTGTCAGCTGCCTTGGTCAGATCTGGGTGCTGTGACCATCTGTCTCAGGGAGGGGTCCCGACGGTTAGGGTCCTCTCAGATAGGGGCAGGGGGGCTGCTTGGGACACATACATGTCGAACTACCAAGGAGCGTGATGACAACAGTGGCTGCCTTTCCTGAGCAGTTACCTGTGCCCATAGCTAACGGGGTACGGATATTTATTGTCCCCATTTCCCAGATGAGAAACGGAGACGCAGAGAGGTGCTTTGCCCGAGGACACATAGCTGACGTCTGACTCCCAAACCCATACTCCCCAGTTAAGAGGTGTTAACTGGGCGCTCAGGGGGCAGAAGGCCCCATCTGCGGGG